ATCTCATGAGTAAATAAATACCTGGGAGAAAAACCAAAAGGAACCTTACACAATATTGTATCTCTGTAACTATCCATACTTGCCATTCCAATGTACATGTTTTTTTTCCTCTTACTGTTTTCATGCCAGCAGACAGGTAACTAAAGCATGACCATACCATTAACTTCTTGGTTTCCCAGTAACAAATACATACTTATAGGTACGAATATGAGGATGGGGTTAGTTCATATTTGCAAAATGAAAGTATTTTCAAATTGAATCAGATGAAATGGCTGAAGATAGGATTTCTACCTTGGCAGCCTAACACCAAAACATTACCAGAAATGAATAACAAAGAAGTGTTTGTTCAATTAAACAAATGCTCATTGTGTTCAGGCATTAGTATCCCCAGGAAGCATTGTTCGGTCAACACAAGTTCAAAGAATTTGGACTTTACATTCCCACTTCTAATTGTATTTGTTTCAATTAAAATCAACCAGGTGAGTCTGTCAATGCCTGTTCTACATTTTAAAAATTTCTTCAACCATACCACACAACATCCTTTGGGGGTGGGGCGTTCCCGAGAATATTCCTCAAGAAGAATCAAATTTTAAGTTGAAATTCACTTCTGCATTGTGTTTGATTGGTTAAGACTCTAAAATAAATTCTGAAATTACTATAACAATTAGTTTTGCTGTATATAATTGAATTTTTCCCTGCAATTTATTGCTAACCTTGAGTAATTCAGATAATTTTTGGTAAATCATTAAAGAATCAGACTTCAATTAACAAATCACCCAATTATTACTATATCATACCTAAAAAGAACTGAACTGTTGTAATTAAGTTTATATAGTGTTCCTTATTATGATTGTTCCTTTCTGTGTAAAAAAAACCATCCAAAGCTCTGAAGTGGCCTGTATATATATTATATTTGTCAAATTTAGCACAACTCTTGTCTTGGACTGACATTCAAAGAAGATATGACATTGAACTTGCTACTTTTAATTGATGCTTATTAGAATCCCGAGCAGCATTCTGGTACCAATGATTTAGCAAAGAAAGCACTTCATATTAGAGCCATTTATGATTAGCATTGCCAAATTACTGGTACTAACTAATTTATTAATGCCTAAAGAAACAGAAGAACATGTGAATGCTGCTGCTATTTCAGGATTTGGAGGACTATGATCTTGAAAGCAGATTCAAATCAACGAGCGATAGATCATTTACACAATCCAATTCAGAGAAGATTTTTTTTTTTTTTTCAGGTTATGCCATTAGGAAATGTACATGACACAAATAATTGTGAACCTCTTGTAATCAATATGACTTTTTCCCCACTGACTTCAGAAAAAGGAAGACAGTCCCCAAATGAATGAGAAATTCTCTATCAATGTGTCTCTGAACTGTTCTAGATGCATTGGGGGTATACATTTAATAAGTATGGGTATTTTAATCCAGTTGTGAATTCTTCTCAGACACTTGCACTCTGAAATGATGCTTTTAAAAGCAAGTACAAGGATAAGGAATACTGATAGAGTCACAGACGGAGAGAGGTACATATAAAACCAACATATATTGAAATAACTGAAATGTTGCCAGTTAGGTTATTTTCAACTGCCAAAATCTACTTTACTTGCTTCCTTATGATTTTAACAGCAGTGATAAAACTGATCAAAGACTTTTTTTATTCCCATTTGTGCTGCTTTGTGAAACTATGAGCAATGACAAAGGCAGAATATCATTCCTTATGCCATTTAGTACTTCCTGAATAGAAAGTGTATATCTCCACAAATATCAAAACACAAGTTTACCATTTAAATTCTGTGACGGATAAGCAGTATTTGCCATGAAGAGCTTATTATTCCCCACTGAGCCATTTGCTGGTGTATAACTTAAAGTTTGACACCATTTGCAAGTAGGAAAAAATATTCAATTATTAGCAAGTATTGCCCACCACCCAATTACTTGCCAGAACAGATTTCAAAATACAAATTCATTATTTTGAAAGTTATTTTCATGCAGAAGAAAGAAACAGTTATCAGTTTTGAGTATGTCACAGAGTATGTCTATGAGAAGCACTGACAGAATGGCGTAAAATACTTCCAAGATTCAGAGCTGTGACTCCAGCGGTGGAATGGGAGGGACAAAAGGGCTTTGAGTTGGGATTTGGGGGAGGGACCTAGAAGACATGAAGATTGTATAAATACATCTCAGGTCTTAGCAGACTAAGATGTAGTGGCTTCTCCTCTACCCCCACCTACCCCCCTGCTTCTATGAAAACAAGCTAAATGTAAATTTTACAAATTTTCCCTTAGAAAGTTAGCAATGTTCAGGTCTTTTACAATTTAATGGGTATAAAAGAATTAGTTCAGGATGTATTGACAAGTGACAAATCTTTTGAACTCTAAATTTCTGATTCGTGTCTCAGCGAAGAAGCAGAGTCTCAAAATAGGGTATTACGGCTGTCTGAAAGATCGCTATCAACATAGGTAGTGATCTCAGTTCAGTTCATAATCCCCAAAACAGTCACATTGTAAAAACGCATTCCCAGCTGCCCGAGCATGCATCTCCACCAGCAGCTTTGGCACAAAAGGGAAACGCGGCCACCCTGACAGCAACCCTTCTGACTCACGGTTTAAGCACAAGAGCTGGAGAGTGGACACTAGTGAAATTAAATTGTTGCTCTTTAGTTCTGAAACTATCTTATACATTTGGCCTTGCCTCAGGGATGACATTCACAAAGGAATGCAAGACAAACAGACCTTGAAAAACTGTCAGAAAAAGTAGTAGTAATACTAAAATACGCTGAAGATGACTAAATGGACAACATCAGCCACCTATGAAAATTATTTCAAAACACATATGGAAGCTCTATTAGATTATAATTTTCTAAAATAGTAATTTGTTACTCTTGGGGCAAATAGATAAGAATATGCAAACACTCAGGGTATTCCATTTCATTTAGGAGGTACTTGTTCAGCAGCAGACTGGACTGCTAATTGAATAAACAAGTGGAGTCAATGCACAGCAGAAAAGTTTCCTGACTTTTTTTGTGGACTTTAGTTGCTGGTTATATTGCTCATGTACAGTTCTAGAGTATGACTCACTCACATAACGGACAGAAATTCATTCATTCATGTTTTGAATAAAATCCTTATCCCATTAAGAGAGAAACCTTTTGACCTTATGTAGAAAATTATACTTGCTTCCAGTAATGTCAAAATTGTATCTTTGCAATGAGTATATTTTGATAATTAATGCCAGCAAGATCAGACAACAAAGTGAATTTCATTTTCTGATTACAATGCACAGTGTGCTTTTAAAGCTCTATATTATCCAAGGTTGCTGTGCAGCTTGCCTAATACCATCAAATCTGAGGAACATTGAGCAAAATATTTGGGCAATAGCAACGTCACTTGTGTAATTTATGGATACGGACTCTTTCTCTTCCTTTTTGCTACAAAGCAAATGTTGAAGCAAAGCAGACTGGTATCTCAGTGGCTACTGAGGCTTTCTTTACAATCATTATTACAGATAAAGTACCTTATTCTCAAGTCATTGTGAAACAATTACGTACAGTAGAAGAGAACATACAAGTAACTCTTTCTGAAGCTAACAAAACAACTAAGAAACTGTGCAGTATGAAAAGACGCATGCCTTTTATGATTAAGTAAGTGTCACCCATCCAGCAGCCCTGGCAGGTTGAAAATAAGTCTCAACATGCACCTTCTCCATGGAGAGTAGTCTCAGTTTGAATCCACAAGAGCTTAGAGTCCTGGGCTTTACTCAAGTATACCACAGCATTTACAAGAGTTTTAGCAATGTACTTATGTTCTAAACAGCACAAAAGTTTAAGTAATCTGAATTTTTCCATTTGTGCATGAAATCCAGTTATCACAAAGTTTGACAAATGCAACCACTCTTGAAAGAGTGGCAGACAGAGGGTTAATGAACCACAACAACACTTGGATTGTGCAGGAGACATGCTTTTTGCTCCTGCATGTGTTCACAGTCCTACCTATGAAAGTGAGGGGCTGATAAGGGAAGAAAAATACATTTCCCTTTGTAGTCATCTCCAAGTTGAAACCTTGATTTGAAACATCCTTAATTCGCTGTCATAGTGACAAGGTGCAGCGCTATGTTGTTCTATACATACCAGCACAGAGTACGGTCTCTGCAAAATTCTTGAAGAGAAATCACCAAGCACAGCTATCCTCAGATAGACAATTCTTAAGATACAAGAATGTGGCAAACAACATGCAGCAACTAACTGATGTACTGTCACCTGCTTCACAAACAATCTGTCTTACTACATTTGTACATTAGTCTCTTGGAAAAAAAAGTACTAGATATATAGCGTTACTTGTATATTATGATGAAACCATTTTGAGCACTCTTGATTTTAACCTTTTGCATTAACTCTCAATAGGGCCTAAATGTCTCTAATTGAACTTGATTTTCTACTACATTAACATGCACGTTATTCATGGAGGCATTTAAAACCCTCTGTTTTACAGAAACATGGATAATGACGTTATCTCTTCAGGTGAATTTGTCTACTCTGTCTTTATGAGCTTACAAGAAAAATCTGAGTCTGAGTTAATTGCCTAGATTCCCTTTTTAGGCATACGGAGGAAAAAAAGAGATTTTTTTCAGTCACTGCTCATTTCATCCTGTGATAGCCATCTAAAAATGGTAGAGGAATCCTGCTCCAAAGCATGCACTTATCTACAGTAACTACAGAAGGAGTCAAAGTGACTAGCTGATCTATACACATGTACACTGTGGGCACCCGCAGTTAGAGGAAGTGAAGGTCATCTTTAGTAACAATGTTTTCTTAGAAATCCACGATATCATGACTTCAAATAACCTTGCTTATTTCTGGACAAGAGGCATTCCTTGAAAATGTGATGCAATATTTCCAATATATAATGAGCTATTTGCTGTGCATATAACATCATTAAGACTTTTTTTTTTTAAATAAATAAATAAAACATCAACCAATGTTTTCTTACCATGGCAGGAGCCATCCACTTCTTCATATCCTACACTGCAGATGCATCGTCCAAGAGGCACAAGCCAGTCCCCGTCTGCCCCACAATACAATTTTGGAGTATCACGTTCCTCAGCGCTCTTCACACAGGAGCCCCGTACTTCCACCAAAGAGGAAGAATCAACCCTTGGAATAGTATCAGGAAACATAGCCAAATTACGGACTGTGAAAGGGCACTTTTTGTAATAAACACGGACTGAGACCAAAGCAATGCATGCTCCAATGTCCTGAAAAGCAAGATAAAATCCTTTCTTGTTTATTGGCCCAACCTCACGAACTTCTGTGTTGAGTTTAAGAATGCGGTCACCCAAGTCCATCTGGGTAAAGCTCTCATCAGCTGCAATAGTATCAATTTTAGTGTACTGGTTTGTCTTGAATTTTACTCCATGAGACTCATCTGACTCCATGTAGTAGAGATTGAAAGTTTCCTTGCAGGTTCCCAGTACCCATGGAATACTGTTGCAGTCCCTCAGGGTAAACTTCATTTCCACATAAATTTTCTGTGCAGCATCACGGGAGATCCAGTTTGTTCGAAGCCAGTTGTTTTGGTTTGGTTCCATCACATTACATACCTGGTAAGTATGAATGGGACGATTATGTTCATCCATTTCAGTTATGGCATCCCACTAAAAAAAGAATAAAATTGTTTGAAAACTAAGAAAAATATGTATTATGCGTATGCATATACACAGAGCTCATGTATATATACATACGCATGCCCCATGTATATGCACCTATGGCTTAACTAAGAATAATTATTTACTTAAAGTTTAGTGGAAAGACAGTAGTTAAAAGCAGATACCAACTACAGAATGGTACAAGTTTTATTTCAGAAACTCTATGATAAATTTCTATTAATAAAAACATTTAAAATCAGTGTGGCTCAGTAGAAGAGGGAAATACTGGCCATATTTGTACTAGCAAATTTAATAAGTCTGAGAACATTCCTGGGCATGTCATTCAATCATCTATGCCGAAAAAAAATTGCTAGAACAGTCCTGTTTGGTATGCTGGTGGGCTGGCTCTCCGGCAGTCCTCCAAGCAACTCCCACAGCTCAGGCACATGGCACCGGCCAGGTACCTGCAGCAGTCGGCAGCTGGGATGCAGCCACTCTGCTTTGGTGGGTCTGAGGTTTTTGGCGTAGGTCGTCCTGGTTTACACAATTGCCCTAGAAACATTTAACTGTATATACAGAGATGTTACAGACCCTATGGAGCCAGAAATGTATTACACTTATTTCTGCTAACAAAAACAACAACAAAGTCTGTCACAGGCATCATGCCATTGTTGTTGTCTTGATAAATTCTCTTTCTTACAGTTTGGAGGTGAGGGAGGAATTTTTTTCCCCCTCTTCCCCCCCCAAGGTTTTATATTACATCAACTTTGCAAAATGTTCTCTAATTCTGGTGGAAATTCCTGCATAGAGGCTCTCAAAAAAACATGAATCTTTGAAAAATTATCCATGTGCTATGTATGAAAGGCTTATCAAATGCCTAACTTATTACATAATCTGCTACTCTGAAGGATTACCAACATCCCTAAAATAGCTTCAATATAATTGAGTCAATTTTCCACTAAGCACTCCTAATATCAATATAGCATTAGATATAGATGTTTTTTTACCAAAACACAGAACTAGTTATAGTTCTGTATCCAAAAATATTGTGTCCCACCAGAAGTTTTAGCATGGCTTTTAGATATACTGTTGTCTTATGGCATTGACATACCAAATAAACCAAAAAGCTGTTCATAAATATCGCTCAAAACACCAGACTACATTGTTTTAATGCTATGAAACATCAAAACATACATTATTCATGTTCATGGTTTAGCACACTTGGAATAGATTTATTATGAACACATACTTAGTGAAAATTATTTGCCTGCAAAAAAGATGCATAAGCTTAAAATTGAGAACACAGAAGTTGAAAAGTTTATGGAGTATTTTCACTCTTACCAACTTTCTCAAATTTTGCAGTTACTTGGGTTAAATTCACTGTATGGCATTTTAAAATTTTATATTAATTGCATACAGGTGTACACACATAACATGTCAAAGCACATGTTCTAATTATGCACAATATGCAATTCTGAGTACAAAACCAAGATACAGACCTTACACGTCATTGTGCAAACAAATTCAAATTGTTAGCCTCATGATACATCAGCCCCGCACATTTTTCTGCTCTAATACACACAGCATCCATTTTTTAAAAATTAAAGTTACACTCCTAAAGATGCATTTTGACTACTTGAGCCGCTGAATACTCATAGTGCCTACTTACTTCAGTATTACAAAGAAGGTATGGTTGGCCTGTGGCCTACTGGATTGTGAAAATGTAGGAAGTACAAGTTCAGTTTACCATTTTTAAGCAATAAAAAATTTTATATATATATCACCATTTAGAAACACTGTGGAAGGAAAGACTTTATCTGTTCATCTTTTTCTGTGAGAGAGGAAGATATTACTTAAGAGTTAGGTCCTCATTTTCAGAAAAATTCCCAGATATCAGATGACTCTTAAGGCCCATGTGAACATGGAGAAAGCTAGCTGACTTTACTTTGAGTTTTAAGAACAAATAATGTCACAATATGGAAGTGAGGGAACATGGACATCTCCAAGACCTTTCACATAATCTTTATGTAAGAACAAAACAACAGAACACAAAAGCACACAACAACAACAACATGGGGGGCAGGGGGAAGAGTGCACCTTGTTCTTTAAGAGTGAACTGACCTGTCAGGGTGGAAGCAGCAGGGGAAAAAAAAAAACAAACCACCCAACAACCTGTGGCTCCATTAGCCTGAAAACTTTGATTTTACATGGTGGCTGGAATTCATGTGCAAAAAGGAATTCCAAGTGCTGCCAGATGCAATCAGAGGATGGGGATTCCTGGTCACTGCAGCACGCACCTAGGAGCTATGCAGAAAAATAGGGTAAATTAAGGCCTTTACAGGCCATCACTTTTGGGGATTCTTCCTATCACAGCAAGAATGATAACCTCGTCTGAAGGTCCTGTCCTAAGAATCACAAAATATACTTCTTATATGATAGCTAGACAATGGCAAATACTTGGCAAACAATCTGCTGACTCTTAAGAGATTCTTATTGTGGCCAAGGGCTTTCGGCCTCTGTGACTTGTGCACATTCAGAAAGGGCAAAGCTGCTACTTCAGCATCCATGGCAAGACTGGAACAAGTTCAGATTTGGTCAAAATTGTATGATGGACTAGTTAGCACAGGGCTTCTTGTGCCATTGTCCCCAAATTGGTTTGAACTATGATTAAAGTCTACCCTGTAGCAAGCAATATAATACCCCAAGTAGATCTTGGCTTTGGGAAAGGAAAAGCGGACTTTCATGCTCTGGCGGGCCAAGCCTCTTCCCTTTTGCCAAGTATGAATCCATACAGCTTGAAGTGATTCAAAATTCCACAGCCATGAAGGATTAAAGAAAACAATTACAAGTTATTTTTAAATTTTAAATAAAATTAATTAAAATCCACAGCACCAAGCCTTAAAACCTCAGCAGAAGAGGTTCTGTAAAAACACAGCAGATAAGTCTCTCAGCAGCTGATCCCTATTTTGCCTACTATACCTGTTACATGAGCCAAGTACATATCACCTTTTTCTTCACTTATAAACACGTACTATAAGTTTAAGCATTATTACACAAATTTGCATTATACACAAATATAACTACAATGCATATTTAGAAACAAATAGAAGCACAAAAGGTTTCCTGCATTTATTTGTGTATCAAACCACATTAAAAAGAAGATGTGCTATACATTCCAGAGAGGTCTCAAAAAAAAAAAAAAAAAAACCAAAACCCAACCCCCAACAAAAACCAAACCACAAGCAAACCAACCCCAGAAAAACAAACCTAAAACAACAACAAAAAAACCCCAAAACAAGAAACCCCGAACAAAAAAACCCCACCACACCAAACCCAGAATAAAAAAGTAGTAGGTGGGACAACAATGTAATTTTAAAATACAGAGCAAGTCTTCAGAACCGAAGTAAACTAGCTTAAAGCAAAAAAGCCTCAATACACTACTGCCTCTTAAAAACGTTAAGAAAAAAAAATATCCAACATATCCTCCTTTCACTGGGAGATTCTCTTCAGAAATATTTATATATTCACTTTGAATCAATATCTCGATTTGAACTTAGAAATTAAAGCCCTGAAGTTAGCTGCTAACCGTGTAGTTAATAATATAAATCTATTACTTCTGTAGGAAAGTAAAGGCTCAGCACTTCAATAACTGGTTTAAAAGAATAAAACAAGATGGTTTGATCAAACACGGACAGTGCTTTAGTTCATTCAAAGCAGACCTTGCGTGCTTCATGCCTGTGCCTTTCCATTGTGTTCCCAGATAGCCTGCTGACAACTCCCAATTTATAAGAATTCATGCACTGGGCAAGAAAAATATTTAAAAGGCATTTGCAAAGATGTTTAACAGAAGTAGTAGTCTAATCATCATACATATAAAATATTTTCAAAATAGATTAACATTTCAACCTAGCCATCGCACAGAGACATACTGTAGAAGGTATGCTTATAAATACAGCTGTGAGTTTGTTCGCATGTGCTCTTAATCACTAGTCCCAGATCTTGAGTGCAAAAGAGGTGAATTCACCACCCCAAAACGTCAGTGTAATTTGCTGAAAAGTCTGACAGAACTCAATCTGTGATAGTCTCTGACAAGGACACATTCTTCCTGGATGAAATCCAATCTCCTTTTAATTTTACCTAAGTGTTGCATTTTTCTTCTGATAAAAAACAGCCAGGAAATATTAAGCAACAGTTAAATTCAGTGCAGACAACAAAAAGCCAAACAATTTATCAGATACACCCTAGTTTTCTTTTGGGTGTATTTCACATTATAGCTCCTAATTAATTAAGTGAAAAGGATTTATGAACACTTTAGTTGTGCAAAACTATTCTTCACTTAAGACTTAAAAACAAGCGAACAGAAGCATCTAATTGGTTACGTTTGCACGAGAACGTGGTAGCTCCCCCCAGAATACCTAACCTGACATACTCAAAAACTGGCAGAAGCTGTCTGGTTTAGACAAGCTGACAGTTCAGACTTCCTTCAAATCGAGCCTCTTGCCGTCCCAATGCACTGCATTACATTCAAAATTTTTTAATTACGTTCCTTTCAAATGAGGAAGGCCTCTGATGATGTTGATGGAAGCAGCAGCAGTGTAAAGCTAGTTCTTACAACTGGAGTTCCCGGACTTACGAAGAAGAAATGCCAAAAACACGGTTTGGAGGAAAGACTTCAAAATTCTATTTTAACATTGTAATCAACAGGAGCATGGATAAGAGGTTACATTTTACTTTCACATGTGGCATAAAGGAGGAGTAAATGTCACTAAAATAGAAGAACACAGAATTTGGAGACTGGTAGAGAGAAGATTTTAAGATTACTTGTCACATTCAAGTACGAAACATGAGATTAGGCTACAAACCACACTGAGATTTTAGTTAGATAAAATGTAAGCTGTTTTCATATCTCTAGAAGCTACTTTACAACCTGTTTCATTTTAGAACTTCACTAATATTTAACAGCTGTACAGAGAACACTATAAAGAACAAATTACCTAATTTAAATCTTG